CCATCTTTCTTCTTAAGCCAGGGAATGTTAATAGTTTCTGATGGGACTGGCCTCAAATCACTTTGATAAGTCTTCCTCTTTCTCTGACCCTCCACATTTCCCAGTACCTTTTTCAGAGGACTGCCCCTTCCAAACAACATGCTTAGAGCATGTGAGATGGAACTGTTACCATATTTTCACTTCCTCTAAGCAAAGCATATTTTCCCAGTGCAACATCTTTTGATTTTGTGACTGCTGCTACCATGGTGGCTGATTGTGGATTAAAGTGACAAAATTTGGAGGCTGGAAGTAGATGAGTCAATGCAAAACACATAAACCTTAACAAGGATAGATAAAAAGCAAGTCTATGACTCAAACTCCAGAGTGTCACTTGTGCAAGCAGGGTCTCTGGAGGGAAGCAATCTAGGTCTACTTGCTGCCTCTATCACTCATGTGGCTCCTTCAGCAAAAGTATCCTTAGCCTCTGCGACAGTTTCCAGCTGGGAGACAACTGTCTTGATGACAGGACTGTTGATGCACATGATAGCTGGGGCCTCGTATAGGGCCCATCAAGTGCTCAGTAAAGGTAGCGACCATTGTCACCAACACTCTGACAAGGCTGAGGGTGACACTGTCAGTGACAGAGAGCAGCCGTTAGATAATCACAAAATTCACACAACACTGCCTTGATTACAGAAGCTTGCGTACAGAAGCACGTTCAACTCCCACCGCCTGCTCAGCACCTGTGTTTACCACCCTAGGTGAGAAAGATGTAAAAATGCAAAACTGGATGAAAAGGATGAACCAAAAGAGGCCAGGGATCCACAGCCAGAGCAGCTCCGGGAAGGCTGAAGCCTGATCCGAACGTGGTGACTGATGGTCTGACATCAGAGGGAAGGCTGTGGGAACAACAGGCATGAGGACACATTACCATCACAGGGGTACATGCTCAGGTCGGCCGAGCGCACAAACGTCAGGGTTCCCACAGGCAAAGGTGCATGCACCTAAACACAACATCCACACTATGTTCAGTCTTTCCCAGGATACCTCGCACACAGGAACAAGTTTACACTGTCTCGTCCTGACCACAGGTGTGGGGTGGTTTTCCCGTCACAGAGGTATCCTGTGGGAGCTCATCCTTGGTGGGTTTTAACAGGTAACAGCCTTCCTGAATCACCTACAAGCCCTGGAAAGGTGCCCGAGCTGGCAATGCACAGCATCTATCTGTTCCTACTTCTTTCCCTTGATCTACTAATTAGTATCCTTTACCCTTAAAGAAGGCTCAGACTGTAGGAATAATTTGACTTTTGCAGACAGTAAAGCTTCCCAACAGAAAGATGATGCAGCAAAATGTGGAAACAGATATCATTGCTAATGTCGGATCGATCCTGGCTGAAAGAATGCCAGAAGTGATGGTAGAATTGCCTGTCCAACGCTCCTGCCCACCGTGCAGTAGGTTTTGAATGCAGACTTCCCTCTCTGGGAAGGATACTGAATTAACACTCAACTCCTGAACTTGTGCTTCTACATCCCTTCTTTCCTGACTCCCAAGCTTCGCTGTTGTTAGGTGCCAAAGAATATGACCCATAGTGACCCTATGACAATAGGTCTAAACCCTGTTCGATCTTGTGCCATCCTCACATTTCCTGACTCGAGTTCACTGCAGCAGTCACCATGTCAATCCACCTGGTTGAGGGTCATCTTCTTCACCGACCCTCTGCTTTTCTATCACATCCCTTTCCAAGAAATAGCCCCTCCTAGCAACATGCTCAAATTATGAGGTGAAGTTTTATCATCTTTGCCTCCAAAGAGCATTCTAGATGCACTTTCTCTAAGACATATTTGTTCTTTTGGCAGTCCATGGGATGTTCAGTATTCTTCTCCAACACCATAGCTGATAGAACTCTTAGATGCACAGCAAGTGATAAAATAGACCATAATACACTTTAGTTCTCAAACTGACGTCAATGCTCCTCAATAATTTGGAGCGGTTCCTAACTGCAGACTTTCCCAGTGTTTTTCTGTCTGCTGGTGCCAAGGATGTTTTGGATCCAAGATGAAGTTGTTGACAGTTTCACTCTTCATCCATCGGGATGTTGCCTATTGGTCAAGTGATAAGAATCTTTGTTTTCTAGACGTTGAGATGCAATTCATATTGAAGGCTGTATTCTTTGATCTTCTGCAACAAGTTCAAGTCCTCCTCACTTTCAGCAAGCAAGATTGTGTCATCAGCATAAGGCAGGTTAATTGGTGAGTCTCCTTCCGATCTTGAGTTCACATTCCTCTTTAGAGTTCATTTAATCAAATAATTTGCTCAGCATAGAGACTGAATAGGTATGGAGAGAGAATATAACCCTGACAAGCTCTTTAATTTAAAACTATGCAGTGTTCCCTTGCTCTTTTGCACAACAGCCTCTTGGTCTAGATACAGATTTTGGATAAGCACAATTACGTGCTCTGGAATTCTCATTCTTCTTAATGTTAGCAAAAACTTGTTATGATCCACACAGTCAAATGCCTTTGCACAGTCAACAAAGCATAAATAGACATTCTTCTGGCATTCTTTTCTTTCAGCCAGGATCTGACATTAGTAATGATACCCATGGTACCACGAACTCTTCTAAATCCTGCTTGAACATCTGGTGGTTCCCTATCTGGCACTGTTCCAATCGTGGTTTTTTTTTTTATATGGAACACTTCTTGCTGATCTTCTCTGTATCGTTCCAATTTTAGTATATGTGCTGCCGAGGCAAACACGTTCCAATCGTTTTTTAATGATCTTTAGCAGTATTTTGCTTGCACGAGATAGTGTTCAATAGCATCCACATTCTGCTGCATCACCTTTCTGTTGGGAAGCTTTACTATCTGCAAAAGTCTAAAATTATTCCTAAAGTCTGAGCCTTCTTTAAGGGTAAAGGGTAAAGGGTAAAAGGGTAAAAGGTAAAGGGTAAAGGTAAAAGGGTAAAAGGTAAAGGGTAAAGGTAAAAGGGTAAAAGGTAAAGGGTAAAGGTAAAAGGGTAAAAGGTAAAGGGTAAAGGATCAAGGGAAAGAAGTAGGAACAGATAGGTGCTGTGCATTGTCAGCTCGGGCACCTTTCCAGGGCTTTTAGGTGATACAGGAAGGCTGTTACCTGTCACAACCCACCAAGGACGAGCTCCCACAGGATACCTCTGTGACAGGAAAACCACCCCACACCTGCGGTCTGGACAAGACAGTCCGATATGCATGGACCACACCTGCAGTCAGGAAGAGACAGTCTGATATGCAAGACTTCCCCACCTCCATTTGTCTGAAGACACTTTATTTTAACAATCTTATAGATTTATTCACACATTTGATAAAAATGTCAGAGTTAGAAGTAAAATAATTACAATGACAGATCCCAAATGCAGAGTCAAGCTGTTGTTAAATCACAACATGGAGCAGCATACAAATCCTTAACACTGTGCCCACTGCACCCCAATAATCACAGTGCCAAACACAAGCTGTAACCCACCACCTCAGTCAGGTCCTGGGAGGGAGGAGAGAGCTGAGCAATGCGAAGAGCTGGGACTGCTCAGCACACCTCTCTGCTCTCCTAGCATTCAGGGTGAGGAAACACAGGGTAGGGAAATATGAGTGACACAGTGGTGCAGTTACTCACACCTCTCTGCTCTCCTAGCACTCGGGGTGGGGAGATACAGGGTAGAAAAATATGAGCGACACACTGGGGCAGTTACTCCCTTAGCACAAGCCTAAGGGGCAAAGGTTGTCAAGGAGGAGTTTAAGTTAGTCTCGTGTTTAGATCCTTTTTCATTATCACAAAAGGTAGGAAAATGTAAAATCCTCACAAATGAAATTCTAGACATAAAAGGGTGAGAGGACTTAAAACCGGATCTCTTTTCTCCCAGCAGATTCCCCTAAAGACCATCAGAAAATCAGCTAGGCCAATGCTGATCATGGCCTCACTGGAGCAGTGAAGTGGGATTTTATTTTAGCTCTGAAGAGAGGAAGAAAAACTTTTCAGAGGCATACAAGGATCACAACCCCTTATATGAGTATTCCAGCAAGATCACAGTAGATTCCTTTCACACAGCTTGTGTAGGCAGCCGTATGACCCATGTCTGTGCCCTTCGCCTTCAGAGGAGACACACCCTCAGTGTCCAAGCAGACCAAAGTGTGAAAAATAACATGTGAATCCAACTGTATCATCGATAGTGTGACTATAGAAAAGTATGACTTAGCTCTAAATTCATTACATTCACTGACACAAGGCTAAAAAAAATCCAAACCAAACACCACCACAACCACCCACTCAAGTTATATTGTGAACAGCTCCGCTGACCCTATCAACAGTGATGATACAGACAGCTACTGTCTGAAGTATTCAGCTCTCGGTTAACGGGGTAAGGTTAGAAGCGATGATCCACAGGAGATCAGCAGAGTTAAAGGCCTGGCCAGGCTTAACTGCAAGGGCAGTCAGTGGGGTAGTTCTGAGGGGAGGAAAGTCTGTAGCTACCAACTTTATGTTCCTAAGCACAGAAGCAATGTGAACACAAGGCACTTCCACAGCAGAGTAGTGTTCATATGCATCCAACAGTGAGCACTGCTTCCAGAAGCACCCCACACCCTCCTCCCTGCCCAAACCACCCCACAGTCAACAACACTCTAGCGGGGTCTTCAGACCAAAGGGAATACAGAGCACTGTACAACCAATCTGGTGGGACTCGGAATGTCAGCAATGGAAATAATTGGATGGGCTCCCCTTCCGGCATCATGAAGTGAAAGAATTATTTCTGATTAGCTCAGTCAAATACTGGATTTCAAAATGTTTGGCCTGAGAATATGACAACATCCCAGGGACGCTCTCTCCTCTGTTCTGATGAAGACCAGGAAGGGCTCTGAATAAAGTCAGACCCCAATTATTAAATTCTCTTGCACTGGTGGTTCCCATAGACACTTCAAAAGACACGTGGCTCGTCCATGCTGAAGCAGAGAGATTCAGAACAAGGCCCTGTCCCTCCTCCTCCTGACAAAGCCTGTCAGGCATACTCTATCCGGGCAGGACCATGACTGCCTTCGCTCTGGTGCTCTGAAGACTGGGCAGTGACCTTGGCATCGCTCCCCAATTCCAGGGACTTGGCTGAAATGTAGTCCTTTACTTTGATCTCCATGTTCTTGGCTTTCAGAGTGGCCATGTGCAGCTTCTCCAGGAAATCTGGCATGCCTGTGGAGAGAGGGGAAATACGGTTAAACTAATGCAGTAAATTAGCAGATTCAACACCAGAAGGCTCTGCATCTTAGATGGTCAAGAGCTAGGGTCTATTTAGAAAGACCATTGGGCTGAATCAGAGTCCATCTCCTCAAATCTAAAACGCGTCAAAACAATCCGTAACCCCTTAACCTTTCACAGGGATACTAATCAAGCTGTAGAGATCGCCATCTCTCTTAGCCAATTAAATATCCATTCTCACAGTGCAGGGAGTTACCACAATGTGGGATGACAGATGTGACTACAGCCATACCCCCATAGGGCAAGTCCACCCTACTGCTGTGGGCTGGAAAGGACTCAGGAGCAATAGGCCTAGCTTCTGGCTTTATTATTTCCTGCCCTCAGCAGCAGCCCATCTTACTGAGGCAAACATCAAACAAACACCTAATCTACTCTCCACTCTCTTTCACATTTTTCCTTCTCTCCAAGGTGCATCAACCAGAAGAAAATGAGTTATAGGAGGGTGTGCTTTTTGGTAAAAGAAATTCGGAAAGACAGACACAGTGACAGCACGACTATGAAACTGCTGAGACAGGCAGCGGCCTGTCTTGTCCCTAGGTGAACATCCTACAACCACATTTCTATGCCTGATCTCAGTCTCAAATACCATCTGAAGAGGAGGCACTTTTGATCTATTGCATTGATACATCACCATACTTAAGTAACTGAAGCAAATCTTAAAAACACTTTTCTCGGCCCAAGTTCTTTCTGGGGTCCCTACAAAACCAGCTAAAGGTTCTGGTATCTTCAAAGTACTAAAGAAAACACTCTGAAGAACATTTCTGCCTCCCCAAAAGGGTTCCAGTAAGCTAAGTATCCACCATTTGGCTGTTAGTACAAGGCCAGGGGAAAAACTGCCTGTCCAACACAATGTCCTTCCTGGCCCCGTCAGGTTGTCACTCACCACTGGACACCATCCAACTGAGGCAGTAGCGGGGGAACACGGTCTGCGGATTGTCACTGTAGGTCAGCATGTAGTCAAAGCCATTCTGGAAAAGAAATGGCAACGATGAGGAAGGAATCTTACCACAACCTCCACAACTTACCACAACCTCCAAACACGAATTACAGAATCACAACAAGCTTAATGCAGGGAAGAGAGTTGGGTTACTGTGATGCTGTTTTGACTTTTGTGTTAAAAAAAATCCAAAACACACATCTGTGAAGAAGAAAAGTTAAGTGGTTTTTTTTTGAGGCCGCCTCCTCAAAGCCTGCTTGCAAAGCTGGTCCTGGCTGGCAGTCACGGCCCTGGCCCTCAGTGCTCGCAGACAGCATGCATGAACACAGGAGGCTCGCTGGGCCTAGACTATGTTCTCTATACCCACAAGCTGCATTCCCGTCCAAAAAAACCCAGCGGGGCTCATGAGTCATGCCAGGCAGAGGGTGCCTGCAAGAGCAGCCTCACACAAAGCCCCTGGAGCGAAGTGGAATCATTTTTGTAAATACTCTGTTACATGAGACAAAGTAAGTAATTTCTGGACTTTTTTCACCCTCTAGCTGGTCAGAATCTACTCAGTTTTTCTCTACACCCAGATAGGTAGCAATCTGAGATTTGAAAACAACACAATATACAAATATTGTTAAAGTGTAAAAATAATCTCCAAGTAGATACATAAGCAGAAAGGCAAGCTAAATAGATGTGGGTATATGAGATCTGGCAGAGGAGATTTCTACACAAGAATTTCTGTGTGGTTCTGAAATCCTCATCATATAATGAGACACCTGGAGGGGATGTGTCACTGGACTTTAGTCCAGGAAAAGCTAAGTCAACTGACATCTACATTCCACTGTTAAGAAGAGTGGCTAGGGTCTTAAAAGCTAGCAAGTACCACCTGTTGTTTTCTCCCTGTTTAAGAAAAGGAGATCTGATAAATTAAAGGTGTACGGAAACTAACAGGACCAGCATGAAGAGCTCAGCCTCCTCAGCCTTGAGCCCAGATTACTACGTTTACTGCTGGCTCTAAAAGGTCTCAGCTCTGGCCAAGACCAGCGAAAGCCCCATGGATGAAACCTACCTATCAAGCAAGCCTTTAGGGTGAACAATAGCACCAGGGAGGTACTCATTCCTTGGGAGAATGAACCACATGCAACTAAAAGAGCATCTCAGAAAGCAGAGAGAGGTCAGAAAAAAGGATGAGTGGGCATGGAAGACACAAGGAGGAAGCAGGGAGAGTGCTGTTACCTTGTGGGAGCTGCTATCAGTATCACAAACAAACTGTGTACTAACTATTGAATGGAAAACCAAGGTTTGGTGGAGGAGGAAGCATCCAAGAGGGCACAATCTGGACAGCTCAAACAAACAAATGGCTACTATCCTTTCCTAAGTGTTTCTCAGAAAGAGGGTGCCACAAACCACCACGACTGGACCTGGGGGTCTTTCAGGTATATCACCCCAAAGTGTTGCCCCAGGCCAGCATCATCCACCTCCCCTGGGAACTTGTTGAAAATCAGCACTCCTGCTAAACCAGAAACTCAAAGGCTGGGGCCCAGAAATGGGTATCATTTAATATTTCATTTATTCTGATGTACATCACGTTTAAGCCAATGTCCTCCAGTAATATAGCTCTCCCAGGTTCAGAAGGGAGGAATTTCTGGGCAATACCCTAAGCGATCACAGATCCCTCCTAGATGATCTAAAACTCACCTCATCAAATGATTTGTGAGGCCGGATGACCATCTGGGATTCATATGATCTGACCCTCACAAACTCAGGGGACTCTGGAACACTAGGGTGCTCTACAGCTCTGGTGAGAGAGAAAAGGAAGCATAACTCAGTCACACACATGGGAGCTGAGCTGGAAAGGAAAGGCCTAAAGTGATAGTTCTCATTTTTAAAATAAACTAAGATAAACAAGCATAAGTAAAATTCTAAAAGTAAAATGAAGTCTTGTGGTTCATTAAGTTTGTGCTGAGAAGCCACACCTTACCTTCTTTTAAAATTGCAAAGCTACAGAAAGTGTTTTATTTAGAAATTTGTATCTCTTTATCTTCCTAGATAAAAACAACACACTTCTATGTGGAGTGGGCGAGACACCAGCTAAGGGGAATTGTATGAGAGATTGCATGAGGGCTAAGGCCACAGACTCCCACACAGATACGGGACTGAAGGACAGACTGAAAAGGCTCCAGCTAGAGTCGCAGCCAGTCATGCTCACCGTGACACCAAAACCATCACGTTGTTTTCCTGATCCACACTGTACCGCCGAACATAAACATAATCCCGAGAATACATTGGGTACTGAAGAAAAGGAAGGCAGAATTAGTGCTGCATACCATAGGGTCTTAAAGTAAAAACAGAAATGAAAATACTCACAGGAAAATGAGTGACCCAGTGGAGAACCTCCGAGCCACTGATCACATCCCTCTCAATCACCTCCAGCTTGATCACCAGGGCATCCCACTTCTTTCTATACTCCGTGTCCAGCTAGGGAAGGAGAAGGTCATGCCAATTCAGGAGATGCAGAACAAAGCTGTTCTCAAAACCGTAAGCTTGTAACTCAGGAACTTATAAGATACAAAATACTTATGACAAATTTATAGCACAGTGATCTAAGCAACAGTGGTCACGCATGAGATGCATACCTATGAAGCAGTTTTAAAGCAGCTTTTTGGGGAGCTCTGGTGACCTAGTGGCAAGGAGCTGCAACTACAATTCCAGAGGCACACGGTTCGAATCCACCAGATGCTCTGCTGGGGAAGGAGGGACAATCTCCTCCTGTACCTGTCAGATCTGATTTGACAGTACACTCACACAAAAATAATAAAATAAAAAAATTTCTTAAAAAAAAAAGCAGCTTTTTAAACCCCTCAATGTATGCCATCATCATTACAACAAATGTGAACACTGAGAAAGGGATAAAGAAAAGAATAAGAGAAGTGTATACTATGTCAGAGAAGTAGCAACAGCGATACAAATGTGGGAGGACAGAGGACAATTCCAACAAGTATCAGGAAAAAAAGGACAGAAGTATAAGCTCATCTCTCACACAGAGAACTGCTAGGAGCAAATATTTCTAAACTCTCCAGAGTAAGATAAACATGCACATCTAAACCAATACAAAGTCAATACAAGTTGGCAGAGGATCACAGGAGAAAAGTGTATACTAGCACATTATTGGTCAATGTTAATCCAATACTAGTTCTGAGAATCTGATAAAACAAAAAAATCCAAGAAAAAGTTTCTTTGCAGAACTTGGATGATACAGCCCCCACTCCACCCCATGACCCTCCCCCATTTCTGTAGTAAACATTTCCCACGTGGCTCAGGAGAAAAGACTTCTATGAACAGGAGATTTGTTTAATCTTAAGAAACACACAATGAAGGAAACAGGAACAAAAGTCTGTGAGAAATATAAGTAATGGAGCCTCACAAAGTTCAGGAGAAAATTAAGTATCTATTCCTATAACATAATGCAAATGGGGAAAATGTTAGAAAAGAGAAAGGTGATTAAAAAAAAAGAGGGAGAAAGTTGAGTATCTGAATTGTTTATACTATTTTCATCACATTTTTCTTCATGTTTGAAATGACATCCAAATAAAATTTAAAAATGGAAAAAACTCTGCACATCATTAAGAAAATGGAAAAGATGCAAGCACATGAAGCTGGAAAAGTGGAGGGATGATGAAAGAGCAGAAGCACGTCAACCAGGTGGACTAATGCAGTAACTGCAGCAATGGGCTCAAGAGCATCAGAGAGGATGAGGAGGACACGGATAAGACAGGATTCAGATCTGTTGTAGGGTCAAGGGTTACCATGAGCGTACCTGACTCAACAGCACCTAACAACAGTTATATGAAATATCTATAACAGGAGACAAAAATGTATGAGGGGTTGCAGAAAGAAAGGAGGAATTACATGCTTAATGCAATCAGTATAATTTAACAGTACATACAAAAATTAAGTCAAATGTTTTGTTATATATATATACTTTACCATAACTTTTAAAAAAAAAGCAAGTCTACCACCATTGCTCAGATCCACAATCCACACTCTTGGCATTAGAAGTTAGGAACTGCTAAGAAAGAGATGAGATGCTTTGGCAAAGTCTGCATTCAGGCATATCTCCAGAGTGCTAAAGAGTAGCGATGTCAGTCGAGAGACCAAGGTGTTCCTGATCCAGGCCATAGTCTTCTCACTTACTATACAAGAGAGCTGGACAGTGACTAAGGATGAAAGAATAATCAATGCCTCTGGGTTGTGGTGCTGAAGAAGAGTGCTGAACATACCACGGACTGCCAGAAGAATAAGTCTGTCTTGGAAAGGGTGAAACCAGCTTACTCTTTGGAAGCAAGGATTTTGAAGATCTGTCTCACATACTTTGGATACACTGCCAGGAGGGACAAGTCCTTGGAGAAGGACATCATGCTTGGAAGGGTAAAGGACAGCAAAGGAGAGGAAGACCCTGGATAAGAAGAACTGACACAGTGACTGTGACAGAAAGAGTGAGACTGGCTCAGGATAGGGCAGGGTTCAGAGCTATTGTTCACAGGGTTATCACGAGTTGTAGGTGTCCTCGCTGACTTGATGCCACGGAACAATGACCACCACTAATGGTTAATTTGCTTGTTCTAGCATTTTTTTTTGCAGTGTATACAAGATTACTCCTTAAAAAATTTTCAAGATGCTTTTCTGCGGATGGTCATCCTCAAGTCACAGAGCACAGAAGAAATAAATCCATTTCTGATGGAGACTGACATTTAAGTAAGGCCACGCTAACCAATTCAAGTTGGTAGCTATGAAAAAAAAATGAAAACAAAGAAAAGGAAGTTATCATACAAAGCTTAGAAATTAAACTCTAAAGGAGGAAAGAAGGAATTCTAAGATTCAAGCAGGTGAATAGGATTATGAAGTAAGATCAAACCATATAATCTAAACACACCACCACACTGCGGGCCAGAGAAATTCTGACCCAGGGAGCTCCAGGCTAAACTGTCTAAATCTTTAGCTGACACTGTGATACTTAATCACAAAAATACTCATGGCTTTCAAATCTGGACTGCTCACAGCTGAGCCTCCCCAGGTGGGCAGAGGCTGCCCATCTTTCTCTCTCAAGCAGCTGGTGGGTTCCAACTGCCTTGGGGTCTGCAGTGCAATTCCTTATCCACCAGGCCACTGAATCTAAAAAATTATAAAAATGAAAGTATAAAGTCTCGGAAAATTGGTTAAGCATTCCAATCCAATCCTTCATTATCTTTCCAACAGCCTTATAAGAGGGCAGAAGAGGTATCATCTCCACAGAACAAATGAAGAAAAAAAAAAACCCCAAATGTTTCTCCAGGTGCCATGAATGAATGTAGGCTAAGGGGTGTGAAAAGATAAGATTAAAGTAGAGAACCAGTGCCACATGTGAGTCAGAAATGACTCATCTAGAAAGCAGCAATTAGATCTCTAGGTTGGGCTGCTACTACTGGGCAATGTTATGGTGGTTCCAACTCGTGCAGTGCTCCAGGGTGGCTGCTTCCCACTCACAATCGTTAGGCCCAAGCCCAGCAGTGCAGTCACTGTGTCAGTCTATGTTTGGAAACTCCAAAACTAGGAAGAAAAGTAGCCTTACCTGAACATTGAAGAACTGCCGAGGTGTCACATCTGTGTAGGTTCCAAAAACTGGAATGACAAGAAAGAATGAGGTAGTATTTGCCACACTTACCTCACCCACCCCATTCCTATCATTTAATAGTCTTTTAATTAAGGAATACTGATAGATCTCAAAGGCAGACTCAGAAACTAGTCAACTGAGACAGCAGAGGAAGATAAGGATGATCTGCTAGACTCTTGTCATGGGGTGGGTGGGAGGGGGAAGAAAAACAAAAGCAGGGGCACACTTTCCGAGAACAACTCTGAAAGAATGGTTTAAAGAGGTTTTGGAGACCAGAAGTACTACACACCTACTCAACCATGGAACATGGCCAAGCACAGCTCACCTCTGTACTGATAAAGGTGGGTGCCTGGAATGGGATGCCGCCACAGTTTAAAATGCTTCTTGTCCATCACCATCTCCCACGGCTGCTCTTTACCCCCTTCTGTTTGAGACTTGGGTTCTGGGGCATGGCGTTCAACAGCAGAGCCCTGAAACACAGTCGACATCTCCTCCAATCGCTTCATCTCATCAATAGACCTGAAAAGGGAACAAAACGGCATCAAGACACTGGGAGATGGTTGGGCTTTGTTTCTTCCAAAGACAGCTTTCTTGTTTAATGTCGGCCATACAGCTATAAGATTTTCATTTGTCCTTCTTTTATAAAAGCAAATATTATTATATTGAAATACAGATAATTCTTCTTGGTCATCTGGTATTAGTTAGAAAATAGAGCATTTATTTGTTCACGAGGACTGTTAGATATTTCCTTTATTTTCACATGGATAATACTCTGTGGTCTATTTTCTATATAGTAAAACAACTTTCTCAGTTGTAAAGCTCAAGGAATTTTGACAAATACAGTTCAATGGGTTTGGACAACTACTAAACCAATTTCCTGAATCAAGATATAGATTATTTCCAAGCAGTTCCAAGCTCCCTTCTGTCCCTTTCCAATAACCTGCCCCATTCCCGCCCTCCCCGGACAACCACTATTCTAAGTGCGATCACCACAAATTAACTTCATCTGTTCTTCAACTTCATCGAATATAAACATGCTCAACTTTATAATTGACTTATTTCCATTTTTATTTCAATAATAGTGTGTAGTTTGTTATTTTTTTCATTCTCATTTCTTCTCAAAAACTCAAACTGCTGTCACATCTGAACACACTTAAAGCTGGCCCACCAACAGGCTGTACACCACACAGGGTGACAGAAGGAAGACCACTCATCTCTCTTCTGGGAGCAGCTGGTGGATCCAAACCAGAAGCCTCTGGGTTGGCAGAGCTACTTCCTATCCTCTAGGGCCATTTCTTAGCATCCCATTATATGAAAAGATCACAGTTTATCATTCATTCATTGATAGACATTAACATAATTTTCTAGTTTGGGGCTATTGTGAGAACATCTTGATACAAATCTTTGGGTGCATACAGGTCATCTCCAATGTATTCAGGTGTCCTTGATTCATGCTATGAACCACATTTATGACTATCCCTTTTGGGGAAGGGAAGGAAGATGGCGTATGTTTTATTACTGTTGTTGTTATGTGCCGTCGAGTCGATATGTTTTATTACTAGTATCTATAAATTTAGTTTTATTTATCTTTAGGGGTTGACATGAGAATAACAAGCTACATGCTGTATCACTGAGTTTAGTACACAGTATTAATGATAAATCCAACTTTAAAAAGTTACAGCTCATCATTCCCCCCTTCCTCAAAAGGGACAGTGATACACCACAACAAGATAAACAACCCAATTGAAAAATGGGCACAGGATATGAACAGACACTTCACCAAAGAGGACATTCAGATGGCCAACACACACATGAAGAAATGTTCAAAATCCCTAGCTCTAAGAGAGATGCAAATCAAAACAACTATGAGATATCATCTCACCCCAGTCAGAATAGCAAAATCTAACAGAACAGCAAGCAACAAATGCTGGTGAGGTTGTGGAGAAAACTGGAACCCTCATTCACTGTTGGTGTGAATGTAAAATGGTGCGGCCACTATGGAAGGCAGTATGGAGCTTTCTCAAAAAGCTGCAAACAGAAATACCACTTGACCCAGCAATTCCACTACTTCGAATATACCCCAAAGAAACCATAATAGCCACCCAAGCAGATATATGCACACTCATGTTTATCGCGGCTTTGTGCACACAAGCAAAGAGTTGGAAACAACATAAGTGCCCATCAACAAACGAATGGATAGAGAAGCTGGAATACTACGCTGCACTGAAAAACAAGGAACTCATGAAATATTATTAAAAATGGATGACCTTGGAGGACATTATGCTGAGCGAAATATCTCAGTCACAAAAGGATAAATACTGAATAGTGCCACTGTTGTAAAATGGGACTGACATAGGGGTTGGGGAGGAGACTGAGAAAGATGGGATAAATTATGTATACTGCATTGAAACAGATGAGAGAGAACTGTTTAAAAAGGTATATATGATTAGGTATTATTGTCATGACATGAGTCCAGAACGAAGGCTGCACAGTGGAGTTGACTTGGGGGGAGGGATTGTGTAACAATGAAAGAGTTTTTCTTTTACTTTTCAAAGAGAAGAACGAACTGGAGGGGAGGGGTGGGCAGGGAGGAAAGTGCAACAATGAATGAATGGAAATCCAAAATCTCTGTAAATTTTCATTAAAATTAATAATAATAATTTTTAAAAGGAAAAATAATAATAACCTTTTTTTTTTAAAAAAAAGGGATAGTGATAAAAAGTGGTTCATCATATCATGAATACATCAAGGACATCTGAATACACTGGAGATGATTTATATATACCCAAAGATTGGTATCAGGATGTTCTCATAAAAGCCTCAATATAGAAACGATATTAATGTCTATCAATGGATTGAAGCTCAACATCAAGAAAACAGATTCTCACCACCGGCCTGATAGGCAGCGTCATGACAGACGGTGAAGAGACTGAGAATGTTAACAGTTTCAGTCTGCTTAGTTCCACAATCAACACTCTTGGTACAAGCAGCCAGGAAATTAAAAGACAAATTGCACTGGTTAAGACTGTGGTCAAAGACCCCTTCAGAGTACTAAAGAGCAACAATGTCAGTCTAGAGACCAGGCCATGGTTTTTGCAATTACTTACTATTTGTCAGAAAGTTGGACAATGACTAGGGATGAGAAAAGAATTAATGCCTTTGAGCTGTGGTGCTGGAGAAGAGTACTGATTATACTATGGACTGCTAGGAGAACAAATAGGTTTGTCCTAGAGAAGGTGAAACCAGATTGGTCCTTGGAGGTTAAGGATTCTGAAGCTCCGTCTGACAAAATCTGGACATGCTGCAAGGAGGGACAAGTCCTTGGAAAGGGATGTCATGCTGGGGAGAGTGGGGGGATAGCACAAGGGAGGAAACCCCTCAATGAGATGGATTGATTGGATGGATTGATTTGAACCAGTTCTAACCTGGGGACTACAATGTTTTACTGTATTCGATACTGTCACACAATTCTTCAAAATGCTTAGGTCATTCCCACTCTCACAGTATCATGTGAGAATTCCACATCTTTGTAGAAACTCGGGACTGTTATTCTTTACAATTTTAGACATTCTGGTGAAAAAGCAGAGGACAGAGAATTTAAATAATCCAGATGATCATTAAGCAATAAACAAAACCACATTAATGAGCTGAACCGCTTAAGTTCCACCATAGCTGAACTAACCTTAAGGAAGCACAGACTATATGCAGAAGGTACCACACCACACAGACAGTAGAACAAGGGACAGCTTACACCCTTGGAAGTTTATAAATGAGCTGTGAAACCCACAGCCTGGGAAACAAACTCTGAATAAGAGATTAAAAACTCAATAGTGAAAATAAGAAACAAGGAGGATACCACTGGAACATGAACAAATCTAAAATGGACACATGGCTCAGTCCTTCTGAGTTCTGAGCTGGTGTAACTGCTAGTTTCTAGTAAGTCGGCTACCACACATGGAGCCCTTATGTACTACATAACTGGACGCTGGTCCGTCCTGAACCAGCTCAGTGATTTCTGACACATCTGTCCAGTGCCATAACTATTCTTGTCGGTCCCCTCAGGGATGACTCCCTTCATTTTCATTGATTCTAGCCAACGAAATTTCCTTTTCCAGTGACTGGTCTTTCCTGATGAGGTGTCCAAAGTAGTCATGCCAAAGCCTTGTCATTCTTGTTTCTAAAGAATGCTCTGGTTGTACTACTTCTAAAACTGATTTGCCAGGAAGCTAATATTAATTTTTAAATTCCTCTAAACATTGGTCTGAATGGACTGCAATTTGCAAGACAATAGACTATATGGTCAACTGTCAGTCTTATATAGACATCATCTGGTTTAATCTTCTGTACATGGTAAAAACTGAAAATCCAACAACATAGAAAGAGCAAGCTAGAAACACTGTGGCACACTGGAAACTGGATACTGAGGGCTCATTCCAAAGCACAAGATTGTTTCTAAGGCTCATAGCAACCCTTCAGGACAGAGCAGAGCGGCCCCCCACTAGGGTTCCTAAGGCTATAAATGTTTATGGAAACAGACTGACACTTCTCTCCCATGGAGCAGCCAGTGGTTCAAACTGCTGCCTGAACAGACCAGCACTAAATCCAGGGCTCCTCAGAAGGCACTTAAAATCTGACTGCAGAAGAGCTGCTTCTGCAAAGTAAAAAATCTTTCAGGACATCCATGTGCTGGCGTGGCCTAAGTTAAAATGGAAAAAAACCCAACCCAGCTGCAAACAGCCACTGGTAACTGGGACATGAAGTATGAATGTTGAAACCTAGAAAAATTAGAAGTTGTCCAAAGTGAAAAATAACACTTGACAAGTGATCTTGGGTAAATACTGTTGACTTGTAATTGACTCATAGCTTACTCTCCACTGGTTTCCTGAGACTATAAATGGCCTGTTTACATGGTAACTACCCATCTTTCTCCAGCAGAGGTGTTGATGGAGCTGAGCCACCACTGGCATGGCCCTTGGGCCAGCAGTGCAACCCCCTGCAGCCTCGGCCACCACAGTCCCTGACCCTGGCACGCTGTCAGGATGCATCCAACTCACAGCTGGCCCTGTAGTGGGTATTCAGGGGCAACAAACTACACGGAGGAAGCTGCACATCTTTCTCACAATGGGCAGGTAATGGAGTTGAACCACATGCCTTTGGGCTAGCAGCACAATTACTTACCATTAGCCTACCAGCGTTCCCTATCCTAGCACTGTTGTGTACCAGAAAAGTCAGAACCAACCCACAGCTGAGTCTTCAGTGGGTTTTCAGAGACTGTGAAATCACACAGGAGGAGATTCCTCACCCTTCCTCATGGAGCAATTAAATGGATTTTAAATGCATTCCTCTGAGATTACAATGCAGCTTATCAGTAGTAAGGGGAAATGGACTGGTATTTTCCTATTTGAAGCATTTGATCATATGGTGTGCAAAGTGGGAATGACAAATTGAGAATCAGCATTACACTCTGTCAAAAAGTACAATATGCAGGCAAGGAAAGTTAGTTACTACCATTATTCAAA